CAATTTTCAACTACTACTTAAAGTACTAATCAAAGACTTACAGAGAATTTAGTTATAATCTTTCGACTCCTTCTCATGTGAAAGCTTTTGTCTTAAGCTTCAACATATCACAGGCTTTCCTATGCCTTGTGATCTGATACCATTTGAAAGATCACTTCAATCCAAAACATTAAACTATTAAGTGAAGGCATATGAATTGTTTTCTAATAATATTTTACATAGCCCCATGCATGAAAGTCCTTTGGTTATAAAACTCTGGTACAGACAATGTCAACTTATAGCTTAATTTAGTTCGAAGGTCAATGGATGGTTGTCATTGACTTATGCCAAACTAGTACTCCAATATTGTTTGGTTTTCCATAACTCTAGAAACTTGTTTGATAAAAAACTATCTGAATTGGTGTCCTTATTGGATTTGCTTGATTCTGCTATTCTGCCTTCTAATCTGGGACAGGAGAATGTGGACACTCAATTCTCCTAGCTACTAGCTTAATTGAAGTCGTTCAGTTCTTGACCATTTTTCAAACAAAAACTCCTAGCACAACAATCTCTGTGGAAAACCGAACTCCTCTCTTTATTTGGACTGGGCGACTCAATTAGATTAACTGGGCGACTTGTGATGTACTGTAGTTTTTGTAGACCCAAAAAGGCTTGAATCTTGTGTGTTGTGTTGCTTTAATTCAAGATTAGAAGTAGCTGCACAGTTGTTTTTACATTGTGAAGCAGCGAGCTAGATGTTTTGTAAGTTTTTTTTGGGCGTTTGATGGACATTGGGTGTGTCCTCACAAATTGCATGCTTCTCTATAAGAATTTTTGTTTGGTGTTCCACTGACCATCGGGTTCCAGTCAGTATGATATAAAGTGTTCTTTATAAAAATTTAATAAATCAGTTTGTCCTTGGTAATCTAGGCCAGGTGTTACATTATATGAAAGCTCAAATGCTTAGCTCTTCTAAGTAAGGATGGATTGTGTCACACAACGTGGGTTGAATGCTGTAGTGAAACTAGAAAGATCCTGCTTCTAGAAGCTTGTTTGATGCTTGATTGTATGTTGGTGAAGTTAATGTAATCCCGGAAGCATCATATGACCAAAAGTTGTCTTTGACCCTAGTTCCGTAGAAATACCACAATGCTCTTTCTACTTTTGTGTCTTGCTATTCTATTTGTAGCTCCTCAACTATTTCATTAAGCTTTTTATTCCCGTCCATGCAGTGTAGATTGTTAATTGCATTCTGACTGTGTGGTTCAGGTGGACAGAGGGGTTACATTGGGCGAGGCTCTCCTTAGGCATGATAAATGGCTTGAGAAAAAAGGAATAAAGAACACCAACTTTGCTGTTGTTACATGGTCTAACTGGGACTGTCGAGTGATGCTGGAATCCGAGTGCCGTTTTAAGAAGATACGGAAGCCTCCTTATTTCAACCGGTAAATGCTGCAGCAGTGGGTTGATTGATGCCTTCAATGTCTATCTGAATTTCATTTTTGGCTGACTTGAGCTTTTTCTGTTGCTTATCTTTCATTAGCTGGATCAACTTAAAGATTCCTTTCCGTGAAGTATATGGTGCTGCAAGGTGCAATCTAAAGGAGGCTGTTGAGATGGCAGGCTTGGCTTGGCAAGGCCGGGCTCACTGTGGCTTGGATGATGCCAAAAACACTGCTCGCCTGCTGGCACTCCTCATGCACAGGGGTTTTAGATTTTCGATCACAAATTCCATTATGTGGCAGGCTGCTGATCGATCACTGATGCGGGGGCATTTGCCGGAGCACATCAGTGTTTTCCCTCATCATCCCTACAAAGTAAAGGATATGAATACCCCTATGTTTCAGTATCACCCTTTGCTGTTTCTGTGGGGTGAAAAGCAGTAGGGGAATGGTGAGGAAGCCAGGTCCCAAGCAAGGAAGCCTCTTCTTTGGCTGTGGAAATTGGACTGCAGCTAGAGGCGCCCGCTGCCATTACTTTGAATGGGCTTCTCCTTAACTGAAACCGCCAATCATGATCGATTCCAAGGTGTTCTTACATATTTTATGTAAAAAAAGGAAAAAAATCAAAAAGAAAAGAAAAGAAAAGGAAAGAAAGTGGATGATGAAAAGTGGTGAGTGGGTTGGATTGTCTCCTACTGGAAGTCTGTATGCCTGGCTGTGTTGTGGTGTGATGTGAGGCTTCTGCATCATGAAATACAGACAAGAATGTTTTAGCTCAATTGCTCTATGTTATGTCTGGCAAACATCCAAGTAGTCTTCCTTAGAACAAGAGGGAGCTTCAACCTGTAAAGCTGACTTGTTGACTGGAGAAACAATTGGGAATATAGGGAAAGGGTAGTTAGGATGATGATGATGCTTTTACATGCTCACGTTCAGGCATGCTAAATTATCTTCTTTTCTTTCAAATAATCCATGGTATAGGACTGTTTGTTTCCTTGATCTATTAGGATTTGGGAATCACTGTATCTGCTTGTGGCTGGTTTGCTCGCTGCATTTCTTTCTTGATAACAATTTAACGTGGAGCTTCACTGCTCAACAGTCATAAGGGATCAGGCTTACCTAATTCTACTTTGCCCTAATTCTTCTCATATTTTGGATGGTCCTTATCTACCCCAGGTTAGAAGTAATGGTTCGGATTTCTGCAATGGAAGATTTTTGACGTAGCAAATTCCAATCCAGGGGTGGTTGATGACTCGTGAGGAAAATGGCGTGAGTTTAGCTCTTACGCTTTCATAATCCTATCAAAACACTGAAGATTGATGCTTTTTAACTGTTTAGTTAGGGTTTTACAAGAGTAAAGACTTTTGATTGTATGTCCTCTTACAATGTTATCCTAATAAATATCAATTATATATTATTTGTTGTATATTATACAACACAATGAAAATAAGGGTATATAATAATAAATTAGGTGTCTTGGGCTAGAAGCTGACTCAAGGTTTGTGAATGTAAGCTTAACTTCTCTTGAAAATAATATAAAGCCTTAAAAACTAATCCAGAAGTCTGAGATTCTTAAAACAGCAAGCAAAGCCAAACTTGGGGAGCAAGTCCAAATGTTCTTCTGTGGTGTTTATTTATTTGTAGAAAAAAAAATTATTTAATTTTAGAGTCTTGATTCGATTGTAATCTATTTTTTTAATTTTAATTGAATATAATTTAATCTTTATAATTTTGATTGGGTTGACATTTAATCCATAAACTTTATGGTAACTAAGACCTAGAATTTTAGCAGTTTAAAATATTAGTATTTAAGTTTGAAGAAATAATTTTAGTCTTTATAATTTTATTTTTTAAAAAATAGAGGTTAATATTTTAAATAATTAAAATTATAAAGATTAAGTTATATTGAGTCAAAAATGAAGGAGTAATTTTTTTTAATTAACTTCAATACGTGAATTTTAATTGAGTCGAAATTGTGAAGAGTACATAATTAAATTTTTTCTTATTTTTACTCAATGCGGATATATCCTCTTTAATGTTTTGTCATTTCATGACATTTTTTTTCCTGGACAATGGACAATAGACAATCAAACCACAAGCTTAAAACTAGGACCTTTAATCTAAGGTTGGTAATTTGAGCAGGCTAAGTTTAATTCAAGCAGAGCCAATAATTAGTTTGAACTTATCAAATAGCTATATAGTGAAGTTCGATCCTAATACTCTTGGGATTCAAGCTTATTTGAGGTAGTCTGAATATCTTAATTGTTAAATTTTTATTTTTAATCAAATTTTATTTTAGTTTAAAAAAATTTTTTTATCAAAAAATAAAAAATATACTTTTTTGGATACTTAAAAATGTAGAAGACTCAAATATTTTTTTTTTTTTAAAATTTGTGGATCTTAAAATTTTAAAATTAAGATTAAAATAAATTTTAAATATTATTTCAAGATAATAAGTCTAAACATTAAAAATATATTATTTTGTTAAAACCAGACCCTAAATATAAAATATGGTGGATGGCTTTTGCACATAATAAAAAAAAAAAATTGCATGTAGTTTAAGCAACTGTGTACTTTTGGAAGAACGTTGCATATAACTGAAAAAACATTGCATCTTGTTGGAGATACTTTACAGTTTACGCACACGGTAAGGTAAGCTTGCACATTGTCGCAGAAATTTGCATATAATTGAAAAATATCTTGCAGATGTGGGAAAAACTTGTGCATGGGAGGGTCACTTTTGCAATTAAAGGAAAGAAATTGCCGAAGAAATTTGCATATAGTGGAAAATAATTTTTTTCTTTCTTTCTTTCTTTTTTGTCCAACTCAACTTGCTATGGGCATTTTGGTCATTTTACAGTTAAGCTTATTTCCTTTGAAGTCAGGGACGTTAGGGGGAAAAAACTTTTCAACAGGGCATTTTTGAGCAATTCTCCCTTTTATTTTTGTTTATCAAAATTTATCACTCGCTGGAGTGGTTGTCTCCCTTGTCTCGACATCAACAATTGGCAAGCTAAGGCGAACTCATTGGCTGGGTCCAGATCCTCCAAGCAGCGCCTTCTGTCAGCGCCCCTCAGCATCTCAAATCACAGCCCTCCAATAAACATTCAATGTTTTATATTTTATCATATCATCTGATATAAAAATAATTTTATTTTAAAAATTAATTCTTTTAACTTATTTTAATTTTTTTAAATTTTTTAAAATAAATCATATTAGATTTTGAATAAACCTAATTATAAATATTTATTTATAGTTTGATTTATCCTGTAAATTTTCTAAAATAAATCATGTCAAAATTTGAATAAATTAAATTGTGTCAAAGCTTAAATAAATTAAATTGTAAATATTTGTTTAAAATTTAAATTATTTTGTAAATTTTTTTTAAAAATTTTATTAAATAAATTAAGTTAGAGTTTGAAGATTACTTTTTTAAAATAAATTTTGAAGATAAAAAATGAAATAAAAATTAATTTAATGGAAATTAATTTTTAAAATAAAATTATTTTTATATCAGATGATTCGGCAAAATATAGAACATTGAATGTTTATTGGAGGGCTGTGATGTGGGACGCTGAGGGAAGGTGCTGCTGAGAGGATCTGCATCCCTCATTGGCTTGAGCGCGCGGACGCCAATGGAATTGTTTCTTAATTTTGTGTTCCGTTTTCATTGATTCCTTTTTAGTGCAGAAACTTTGAAGCATTGACCTCTCTAGTCCAGCAGCAACACCAATCTGAATTCTGAACTAGCTCCCATGGCAGAGAGATCGAGATCATTTTCCTCTCTCTCTTCCTCTACGTTCGGCTACGAATGGACTTACGATGTCTTTCTCAATTTCCGAGGGGAAGATACTCGCTTTGATTTTGTAAGAAATCTCTATAACGCTCTGGATCAAAGGAGCATCGATACCTTTATGGATGACAGGGGGCTTCGAAGAGGAGAAAAGATTACTCCAGCCCTTCTCAATGCAATCAGTGAGTCTAGAATTGCCATCATTGTTCTCTCTAGGAACTATGCTTCCTCAACCTTTTGTTTAGATGGGCTTGTTCAGATCCTTGATTGTATAAAGGGGAATGGTCGATTGGTTTTGCCTGTTTTTTACAACGTGGAACCGTCGGAAGTACGGCATCAGAAAGAAATTTATGGAGAAGCGTTCGCTCAGTATGATACAAGGTTCCAGAATGACAAGGATAAGGTGCAAAAGTGGAGAAAGGCTTTGCAAGATGTTGCCGATATCTCCGGTTTCACTTTCAAACCTGGGTATCTGAGTATATTATTCTTCCTTGCTTTACTTATTTTATTCGTTTATTTGATATTGAAAGTAACTCTCATTTCTTGTATTTTGTCTGATACATTTTTTTTTTAAATTTATTTGTCATTTGATTTTTGTTTTAGAAGCACAAAACACTGGCACACATTATGACTAAACAAAATTTAAAAATCTTATATTTCGACTGATTCCAGTGTTAGTCATGAGTTCGACACGAGTAAACAAAGCACGTGCTTATTCTTGGCAGATGTAGCATGGCTTACAGTGTGTTTGACGGTTGGTCAATCAGTATCACATGTTTAATCTCTAAGACGTTAAGAAGCATGGACATTTCAGAACATGAAGACTTCAAATTTTATATTTGAAGTGCTGTTTTGTGTTTATATGTTTGATTTAATGCATTTGGCACGTATTGATGTTGCAAAATAATTTGATTGATATGAACTTTCACAAAATTTCTTATTGAGCCAGGCAAGAATACGAAAGTGGTTTTATTCAGAAAATCGTTAAAGAGGTGTCTAGGAGGATTGACCGTGAACCTCTACATGTTGCTCACTATCCAGTTGGACTTGAGTCTCGAGTGCTACAAGTAAACTCTCTTTTGGATGTTCAGTCTGAGGGAGTCCAAATGGTAGGGATTTGTGGCATGGGCGGAATAGGCAAATCAACAATTGCTCGTGCAGTATACAATTTGATTGCTGGCCGATTTGATAGCTCTAGTTTTCTTGCTAATGTTCGAGAAGATTCACAAAAGCATGGCCTATTACATCTCCAACAAAAGCTCCTTTATAATGTGATTGGGGAAATTATCAACGTCGGGGATGTCGATCAAGGAATCCCAATGATAAAACGCAAGCTCCGCAAAAAGAAGGTTCTTATAGTTCTTGATGATGTTGATAAGCTCAAGCAATTGCACGCTCTTGCTGGGGGACTTAATTGGTTATGTTCTGGTAGTAGAATCATTATAACAACAAGGGATAAACATTTGCTAAAAACACATGGTGTTAACAAAATCTATGATGTAGAGAGTTTAAATCCAGAAGAAGCTCTTGAACTGCTCAAATGGAATGCCTTTAAACAAAATAGGGCTGAGCAAAGTTACATGGACAAATTAGACAATGTTGTACAATATGCCTCTGGTCTTCCATTGGCTTTGGAAGTTTTAGGTTCCAACTTGTTCAACAGAGGAATAAATTATTGGAATTCTGCATTAGATGAGTGGCGGTTAATTCCCGATCAAAATATCTGAAAGATACTTGAAATAAGTTATGATGCTTTGGAAGAATATCATCAGGAAATTTTTCTAGACATTTCCTGTTGCTTTAAAGGTGACACATTGGAATATGTCACAAAGGCCCTATCGGCCCGTGGTAGATGCCCAAAATATGCTATTCAGGTGTTGATTGATAAATGTCTCGTAAAGATTGATTCAGGTTTTGTGACAATGCATGACTTGATTCAAGGAATGGGCAAGGAAATTGTCCGGCGGCAGTCACCAAAGGAGCCTGAAAAACGGTCTAGGTTGTGGCTCAATGAAGACATTATTTCCATTTTAGAAGAGAACAAAGTAAGTTTAGAGTCATGTGCTTGTATGTTGTTTCTTTACTTTTAATAGTTTTCTCAAGTTTTGCCTAGCATTAAATCCCCTACTCAAGCAATCTCAATTGCATCTATTTTTCCCCCTCTTCTACTTCCTTGAATAAGCTACTATTTATTAGAAATTGGTTAGAATCTGTACATTTCTTTATGAACTTGTTTCAATTATTAACGCATCTAACAGTTTTTGTGGTGAACTTATGATTTGGTTCGAAAGGGAACTGAGAAGATTGAAGCCATAAATCTGGACATGCTTGGAGATAAAGAGGTTAAATGGGATGGAATGGCATTTAAAAAGATGTCAAACCTTATGATGCTTATCATTAGAAATGCACGATTTTCCACAAGTCCCAAGTATCTCCCAAGTAGTTTAAAAGTGCTAGACTGGAAGGGATATCCTTATTCACATCTACCATGTCATTTCAACCCAAAGCAACTAGTTATATTGAGGATGCCGGAAAGTTGTTTCATGCTGACTGAATCCCTGAAGGCATGTAGAGTATTGGCCATTGCTCAACAATATTTTTTTATTTATTTATTATGAAGCATAAAGATTCCTAAAATTGTGGGCACGTGTCAAACATCCATACTAGATACAACATTGTGCTTTTTAATTTCATGTAGATTCTTCAAGTTTTATCTATTTCATGCATGTCTATATCATTCTTTGTGCTTTTCATTGTTTTATGTTGTTATGATTACAAAATACTAAGACTGGTTACTTTTAATATTGTTTTGCAGATGTTCCAGTCTCTATGTGTCATGGATTTCAGAGGCTGCCAACGTGTAAAAAGAATTCCTGACTTGTCTGAAGTCCCAAATTTGAATGAATTATGGCTGGAAGGCTGCAAAGATTTAATTAGTGTTCATCCTTCAGTTGGTTTTCTTGGTAAACTTAAAAGGCTAAGTGTTAAGAACTGCAGGAAGCTCAGGACCTTTCTGAGCATCTGGTTAAGTTCTCTTGAATATTTTGACCTCTCAGAGTGCGAGAGCCTTCAGAAATTTCCAGAAATATTAGGAACAATGGAAAATTTAAGAGAGATTAATTTAAACTATAGTGGCATAGAAGAACTGCCATTGTCATTCAAAAACCTTGCTGGGTTGCAAAAATTAGAACTTACAAGGTGCTTGAGGCTTCAGGAAGTTAGAGGGATTTCTCCAAACATCAAAGAATTGGAGTTAGTTAATGTAAACTGGTACTCACATTTAAGCTCAGAGTCTCGGAAAATATTACTCAATCAGGTTAATCTCTCTCTCTCTCTATACACCCATGTCTTACTTTTGATGGTATTTCTATGGCTTCTTACAGAGCACTTCAAATAGAAAAAAGCTAATGCCAACAAGCGTGAAATGATGAATTCTATTCTTGTACGATTTTTTCTTTTCTCCTTGTTGGAGCTGTCCTGTTTTTATCAAATGTTACTGTTCTACGGCCCAAGTTATGATATTCTTGTATGTTTTGCTTATATATGACATTAATCTTATTGGGAAAGGAAAAAGTTTTCAAGACCCTTTATTTTTGTACTATTTGCATAAATAACTACACACAAAAATACTAATTTAAAAACAAGTTATTCCTCAAAAAGATGGATATGAGCATACTAAACCTAATAGCCTCAAGTCTCTTTCACGATTATACTTTACTCTCACTTTTTTATTATCTTATTCCTCCACGTCTCAAAAAATGGATATCATTTCACTGCACCTCAGCCAATCACTATCTCACTGCATCATCTTAGGTGCCTAATTTCTTTCATTAGAAGAATGTGTAGACAGAAGCATATAATTTTTCTCAATACACAGTTCAACTTCTCACTAATGGAGAATATTCATTGCTCTTTAGAAAGTTCTCCCAATTTCTTTTTCTTTCTGTCTCGCTAAATGTCCCTTCCTCACTCTCTTGAGAGGCATAATAATAACTTGGTTCTTGTCTTCTCTTGTTCTGTATTAGGCATTGCATGAGATTGATGGCTTGAAAATTACAATAGAAGAAGACAGGACACCGGAATGGCTTGACCACTGCACTGAGGGAGATTCAGTGTCTTTTTGGATCCGAAAGCAATTCCCAAACATGGCTGTGTGTTTTGCTGCATCAATTGCGGACCCATATCACGACCAGCTTGAGCTGCATATTAATGTCTGGATCAATGGAGTAGATGTTGGCTTTCCATACCATGAAGCAATTCATGCATCAATTACATCACAACATATCTTTCTGTTTGATTTGCAGCATCTAATTCCTGAGGAGAAACTCAATGGTGTAATTTTAGACCGTGAATGGAACCGTGTGGAGGTGTACTGCTACTTGGATTTCCTAAACTACTATGCAGATGATTGGGATAGCAGGCGTGGAATATCCTCACCAAAATGGAGTGGAATATATGTGTACAGGAAGAAATCCAGTGAGGAAGACATTCGATTCACAAGTCCTGATGAGGATCCTATCTTTCACTTTCCTCGATCGGAAGGATCTTCTTCAAATCCCCTCTTTGGCTGAGTCAAGAAAGTTAATACCATGAAATTAGGTATTTCCCTTCTATCTGAAACATGAAAGAATATATAGATGAGATGAAAAATGTTACTTTGCTGTATAAAAATGACGAGTTTGTCTGGTAATTTGTCTGAAGAGTTGCATTGACCTTTTATCTTGAGCTTGATTCTTGGTGGTTGTTTTACCCTATTGGTATTCATCTATTAACTGATGCAACTTCGCTTGGCTCATTAAAAAATCAAATTTTCTTCAATTTACAACTGATCATGTGTTGTATTGTTAAAAATTCAATTTAAATCCTCTATCTTTTCAACATCACTGGGACGTGGTTGGGGGATCGGGGTTTCTTCTTGTGCAGCAGATTTTTCAAAACCTGAGTTTGTGAACTGTATAAATGACACTAATATTTTGTTAATTCCAAAAATTGAGATTCCCGAGACTATGAAGGATTTCTGGCCTGTCAGCCTATGCAACGTTGTTTATAAGGCTGTGACCAAAATTCTTGCTGATCAGTTGAAAGGAATTATGAATAAAATTATTGCTCCAAATCAATGTAGCTTTGTTCTTAGGAGGCAGAGTACTGATAACATCATTATGGCTTAGGAAATAATTTATTCCTTTTGTAAGTGTAAAAGTAAGCTTGGCTTTATGGCTTTGCAGATTGATTTGGAGGAAGTTTTTGATAGGGTTAAATGGAGTTTTGTGATTTGGTGCCTTGATGAGCTTAATTTTCTTGCAAGGTTTGTTGATCTAATTTCTAAGTGCCTTTCTACCGCTGTAATGCAAGTTTTATGGAATGGGGGGAAAGGGGAAAATTTCTTTCCTTATAGAGGACTAAGACAAGGAGATTCTATTTCTCCATATCTTTTTGTTTTAGTTATGAAAAAATTAGGACACATGATTCAAGGTGAAGTGGATAATGAAAATTGGTTGCCTTTCAAATTAAAAAGGAAGGGGGTAGGCACTTCCCATCTTTTCTTTGTGGATGGTTTGTTGCTTTTTGCTGAGGCTAGCATGGACCACGTAAAATCGGGGGAGAGACCAATAAGGTTTTTCTTACTAATCCTCCCCAATCGCCAAACAATAATGTAATTAATCAAATATATCAATTTATACAAATGGAATTTTAAGTTTTCAATATTCGAAATACTCCTATACATTTTCAATATTTCCAAATTAGAGTTCAAATTATATGTGGAAGCATGGGAATTAAAGAAAGATTCCAAACATTAAACAGTACATGTGTTGTGGCTCAACACTCTTGCGTTGTGGCGTGTTGCTTATATGTCATGTGCTGTGACGCATTACATGAATTTGAAAGCAAATTTTGTTGTCAAATGACAGCACTAAGGACAAACTTTCGATATGTTTCATTTCTTCGTCTGACGTTCGATTGATGTAATCTAGGTGTTTATAAAGAGTTTTCTTCTAACTCTAGCTAATGGTACAAGTTTGACAGCCAAATTATATTTCTAGTAAAAGTTAGACATTCTTTTCAACTTTCACTCCTTTTTTTAAAAAAACTCACAATTAGGGTATCCAAACTTCAATACGTGTGTCAAAAGCCTATACCAATGCTTAGACCACACTCAATGGGCCATTTAGAGCTCGTGCAACACACCACAACCATTCCAACACACATATATCATAAATGCAACCTTAACCTCTCTATTCACAAAACATAAGGGGAAGATAATTTTGCATAAAATCATCAATGTTCATCCTAAACAACTAAAATATATTTTACCCTACTTGCACTAGTATTTTGGCCTTATATATAAACTTTACAATTACATCTTACTAGCTTAGGACAAAAATACACAAGATATTCTTAATTATAATGCAATTAGAAAAAAAATAATATAATAAAATCTTAGTTGGCAAATTAACTAACAAAATACACATAATTTAAAACTAAGAGGCCTACAAATAGGATTTACTCAAATCCTATGCCTCCGGTCGTTTTTCTCGATCCTGATTCGATGAGCTATGCTTTGAAAATATTGTAGAAAAGGAGTGAGTACAACCACTCAGTAACTAAGGTCAACTTAGCGTATACAATTGCATATTTATTAAAAATAGATGTAAATGACAATACCTTTAAACATCATATACATATAGCCAATATATGCTTGACTACAATAATAACAATCATGTGATTAGGCATGTAATCATTGGATATATCACAATTATTCACATATTGGGGTCGTAAAAATAATAACCATGCCCTTAAAACATGTCAGACTACAATAATAACAACCATATGATTAGAAGTACAAATGCATGATCAATGCTAACCTTATATCCTCCTGTTACTTCTAACATGAAACCATTGGCTATCGGTAGCTATGTTCGTATCTAGGACTAATCCAGCCTTTCACTTGTGAGGAGCTATCGGGCCAGGGTTAACTCATTCACTTGTATACCGCAGTTTCCCTTAATACTAACAATTATGAGGTGTTATATCTTTAATTTAGCCTTCTCATAAATCGGTGGAGATTATTAGTTAGATTCGAGTTCCTCATAGAATAAGTGGGATAGTTCTAAATCAATTATGGGACAATGGCTACCTTTTAATTCCAACGATCGGTGCCAAGGCAAGCTTCCAAGTCCAATGGTAAGCCACTAGTACCGCATGAGTTTACCAAACTACTCCTCTTCCTAGGTGAACTCCTACTAATGATCATAATAGGCTTATATTACACTTGATATCATTTTAGCACAATTAATCACATCACATCATATTCACAAATTCCTTTCTCTGTTATACTCCACATGCTAATCATCACATATTTACCATTTCCATAAAGACATGTTCTCAAACATCAACATTAGTCACAAATGAACAAACATGCATATTATTTCG